CCCCAAAACCCCAAAACCCCAAAACCCCAAAACCCCATGGCGGTAAAATTGATGGAGATATGTTAATTCAACTGCTTGAAATATTTGAAATTAAATTTGGCTGCATTTTATTATAAACAATCAATTAAGCAAATTAAACTTAGTAAAATGGACTCTGCTTTGAACTTTTCAAATTTCACCTACTCATAGTCTCTTTTTGTCAAAGAGACTATCAAGCTGCACTTCCAATCACTTAAGACCTTAATGTATTGCAATACTCTTCTTTTAAACATATGAATTTAGAGATTAAGAGTCAATGTGCACGAGAGAGGCAAAGAAGTACGACAGCATAATAGGAGGCTTTTTCTAAGTCAACTGGAAATCCATTCTTAACTTGATCTAGCATTCAGAAATGCCTAAAGAGCACTTGCAGTCGATTGTAAGTGATTTGAAGGAAATCAGAAGCAGGGAAGGTATCGCTTGTGATAAGGTAAATATTCTTTTTGCAAACTCAATCAAATTTTGATCATTCCTATAGGTAATTGGATTGAAAATTGATGCGCATATTCAAATGACTGAAATTTTCCTCTAGTTGAATCATCCAGGTAGCAAAGATAATAAGAAATAAATTATAAAAATCAAGAAGATTCTGAGAGAGCTGCACATCAAAATGGATTGTGACTATCTATACCTTCAGGATGTTGAAAATGAATAATAAATGAACAAAAATAAGAATTTGGACTTCCCAATTTGGTTTATGGAGAATATAGTTATTCCCTATGCTTACAAATTGCCCATTATTGTAAAACAACTTGTTGACAAACTTGAGTTGCAAGAGTATTAGATTGACAAGCAGTTAGATCATTATCTAAATCATTAGTCCTAATTAAGCAAAAAGAGGAGATTGAATGATTCTACTAGTTTTGATTAGGCTGAAATAATTTCCTGCAAGAATAGCAAAAGAAGGCAATAATTCTAAGCCAGTTTCTAATTAAATGAGATCAATCTAAACCTTAATAAAAATAAATCAGTGTCCTTTTAGACTCAAAAAGATTCGGAAAATTCTAGCTCAGCTTCAGCTATAATTAGCTAAGCACTAAAATCTGAGAACCTTAAAACTCTAGACAAAATCAACAATAAGCTTCAACTTAACTAGAAAATTGAGGCCTTTTCCTGCAGTTAATTTTCCCAATCAACAACCGATATGTCAAAGAAATTTTCTTAGTCACAAAGATCTCATTCAGTTGAGTCAGTTAGATCTTTTAATAGCAGAAACAGTTAATCCTTGAATACTTCTGGGTTGAGTGCGAGAAACATTGCTCCTCTTCAAAATAGAGTTCTTCTGGAATAATTCAAAAATAAAATCAGCCTCTAATAAAGAACAGCCCTCAGATTTCCAGGCTCAGGTATGAATCAGATTTAAACCCATATGAAAAGAGCTAAGTCCAATCATTAATAGAAGAGCTTTATAATGAGATAAATATCCTAAGTTCACCATATTATTTGACTCGATGAGTGATCATCACTTTCGATATTTGCCCTATCAATTTGAAAAATGAAGAACCCTAATTTAGAAGTCTTTTTATTTGATAAATAATTGTTTAATTCTAAGATTTTATGACGCAGTAATGTAATATCTAACTATCTGGTGGGGTTTTGGGGTTTTGGGGTTTTGGGG